GGGATTCACCTGGTGCATTTCGTGTTTACTGTAAGGAATGATGGCGGGCCAAGTGAGTTCGGGTAGAAGAAAACCTCCTGACAGTGATTCAAATCTGTACTTTTGGCATGCCCGGGCCAAGCATATTTGTCGTAGATGGTCTCCGTTTTGATAATTAATTTTGTCTTTCTATGTTAACATCCACGACCAACCCATTGTAGGTCAAAATTAGCCAACACGGGGCTATGATAAAATAGTTAGCACATGACACCAGCTTTTGAATGGACTTCTTTCCGGCCACTCGCAAAAACCACACTGTAAAAAATGACTACTTACGTAGCATGAGTTTTTCTTATTGATTTTCAAAGCCTTTATAAATTCAAATATATCTCATGAAAACACGCATAAAAATATTTACTCTTTTAATCTTGCGGTAGAAAATAACGACCTCTTGGAAGTTTATGTTTGAATGAAGGCATAATTCAGTTTTTGTAAGGTTCTTAAATGTGATATGCTTTAAGACCCTGAAATGCCTGTCCATAACACATTCTGTTTTTGCGTTTATCAATGTTGCTTGTGAAGTTTACAATATGGGTGAAATCCCTTGCTAAACGGCATAAACTCCACATGGTATTTTCTTAAATTCGTTAAGAAATTTATGATTTTCTACACACCGAAAATGTACGGCTTGTAGTTTTAAGACTTTGAATGCAGGTGCAACGGAGAATCCAATTCAGAATTTTTCATGAAGTGAAAATATTTTTCGAAAACCGAATTGTACTCTTCCTACAGGTATAAAATTTAAGGAAAACGTGGGTTTTTACCAAATAAGAAAAGGGGTTAATATTCTTATACATGGTTTCCATGAGATATATTTGAATTTATAAGGGCAGTCAACGTCAATAAGAAAAATACATGCCACTTATGTAGTCACTTTTACAAAGCGCGTTTTTTGTAAGCGGCCTACAAAAAGTTCATTTAAAAGCCGGCATCATGGGTTAACTGAAATGTTGTTGAATTATGCTGCACTGCAGTAAATTTTACAACCCTATTTAAGTAAGCTTTTTGAATCAAGGATGCATTTCAGAAGTTCGGTTAACATTTCATGAGTTAGCACACGTACTGTAGGTCGCAATTATCCCCTAGAACGGACCAGCGCGTAGGCCGTTATTGTTGATGTACGCCAACGACAAATGCCAATATCAAAGGTGTGGTGAAACGCTTAGTTGCCGGTTCATGTCGCACCAATTGGTATCCCTGCCGCCCCCATTGTTTTCGGTTAAAATCATGGTCACGTGTTTGATATGGACAAGGGAGTGTAATGGTACCGGCCGGTCCGGCCGTGCTAACCATCTGCGTCCTCTCCCGCCTCCGGTCTTCTTGACTATGTCTTGACACCGAGCCAAGGTGGAGGAGGGGAGAGTGCGATAGATACTACACGAGCCTGCTGCCACCACAAATCAAATCACACACAAGTTATCGTGTCCACTCTTACCCTGTAGTGAAGCACACGATCGACATCGTCTGTCAAGACGGCCGAACTGGCGTAGGTCACAATGCAAACATGAAGCTAAGGACAGGTATCGTGTGACGAGAGCAGATCAAAACACGTTGCGTCTACGTTAGTCAAAGTCGCTCCATCATTCTTCAGAGTATTTTAATTTACAGACGTATGAAACTTTATAATTGGTTGCTACTGTGGCCTTATTCCACCCCCCGGCTGCTGGAAATTCCTGTCCTAATTTGCTGCCATTGTGAGTTGAGCAACAACCTAATATTGCAGTCTGGGGACAAATTGTCGCATAAATGGAGTTTCTAAACTCATCCCTTCTAACACGTACCTCACTGATAGAAATACGCCTCTTGATGCTAAATTTTCGTTGGAAATTTGCCACCCGGTCAGAACAAAACTCTATTCACGGCAGTGATTCGGGCGCTCCTTGATCTTACATTAATTTGCCTTCCTTTCCCTTTTCAAAGCCCCGTACTTGCCGCTCCAAATCTTTGAAATGTGACCTCCAGAAAACATGCCACCCTCTTTGCCGGAACTGCGATTTACTTTTGAATTCACTTCCACCTTCCCTCCACGCCCACCACCCACAACCCCTCCATGTTCAAAGTACTTACTTCGGGTTAGCAATGAACTGAATTATTCATGGTGCACCGTCTTCATGAGGCGGAGAGAAGGAAGAGCCGGAGTGGGGGAGGGATAGGGAAGCGATGAAAGTTGATGCCTTTAACTGCTGACCATTTACGAATTTTGCTTTTGCAGTTCAACTAAGATCTGTCAAATATCTGAACTTGAAGCTAGAATTTCGTCCGAAATAAAGAAGTTGAATTAAGAGCCGGACAATGAGTTTATTTTATTTTCCTCAACCAGCTCTGGTATGACATCTTCCTAAAGAGTTCGTTTTTTTTTCACAACGAATAAGAAGTGTAGCCGGTCGTATTTTGAAAGCACAGTAAATTGTGCGACTCATGAAATGTTAACCGAAATTCTGAAATGCATCCTCGACTCAAAAAGATTACTTAAGTAGGGACATAATATTCGTAACCATGCAGAATGATCCCAAGATAATTCAGTTACTTTAGGGATGCCAGCATTTGAATGAAGTTCTTTTCCTCCGCCTGCAAAAACTATATTCTGTACAAAATTCCTACTTATGTAACATGACTTTTCCCATTGATTTTTGATGTCTTTAAATACTCAAATATATTTCATAGGAAATCTGCATAAAATATTCATTCCCTTACTCACGTGGTAGAAAATTACCTCTTCAAATTTTGCTCCTGAAGCAATGGCAAAATTCAGTTTTTAAAAGTTTTCCAAATTCCCGAATAAATTTGAACCTTCATATACATATACATATGGTAGCAGGTCACATTCCAAACACCCATGCCAGGGATTCAAGTCTTTCAGGCACTTTTCAGGTCACATACGACGATCTGCAACGCTCAGTGACATGGAACTTTAATTAATCACAATTGGATACGTAATTGCGTCAGTAGTTGTGAAAAGGTGATTCCCAGGCGATATAGTAATAAAAGAGGACTCGTTCATGGGGAGAGGTTATCTGAGGTCAGGTGCTTCATCCATCCATCCTTGGAGTCTGGAGCTTCTGACACAAAGCTATGGCGCAACGCTCCTGATACGTGACGGTCCGTCCGTCGTTGCCAACGACGTCCACCATTATGTCCACAAAATTGTGAAGCAGGGACGGTGACTTGTGCGTGAATCAGTTTATGATGAATGCAGACTTTCGAAGCATCTACCTCATCCCCTCCTCCTTTCCCACCTGGACCCGATTTCAAAACAGAGTCATGAAGACCGGAGGAGGGATACGGCACAGGCGGATGACACGGCTAGGCACGCACCTTGGCGTTCTCCTCCCCACCCCCTGGTCCACACAGCAAATCACCAGGTCGTTGACCAACAACAAAAGGGTGGATAGCAGGACCGTAGTCGCACCTGGGCGTGCCGTCACACCAAGCTTAGATTCCACGAAGTGAGCGTACCATAAAGATAGCATTAAGAAGGAGCCATTGCAGCCTGACTCTTAGACCACCAGCGGGCCGCTCCACACAAACGTACAACACTGGACCGACTTCGAGGTCCAACTTCTCCCGTCGTTTGACAACCTTCCAAGCCACCTCTTCGAGCGCACGTGATAGCTTCAAACGCGTCAGATTGTTTATAGTGGGCAAAATTTGCCGAGTCTTTGGCCACACTCTCCCTTCCCACACCCCAGCCACTGCCCGAGCCGGTCGGCTGACTACAGGGGGAAATGGGCGAGGTGGCTGACATGGTCTAGTGACCTTGTCTGCGCGCCACACATGCATGGCTTGCCCTCTCCCCAAGCACAACATCAGGATTTCACACAACGGGGACTGAGCGGCGTTCATCCCACATGCGTGGGAGTACCGTATGTCACGTTAAGTAGGAGTCGCCTGGCTTTTAGCCCACCAGTCCGCCACTCCACGCATACTCTTAACTGGGCAGACTGCGGGGACTGCTTTGGAACGTCAGTCAGCAGCCTTTGGAGCCGCAGCGCTTGACACTTGCCTCAGACTCCAGCCACACATGCTGAAAAGAAACAGCAGGAGCCAAGACGCCCACTCCTCACTTGCGTGGGAGGTGGCAGCTGGATGCTTGTGGTGGATGATAATGTTGCGTGATGTAGGTAGAGGAAAATGCGGTGGTGTGGTTTAGTCGGCAGTTGTCTACCGCAGGTTTTCGTGGATACGCCTGTGGCCTAGTAGGCCCATGCGGCGGTAAATGTGCGGGCGCAGTGAGGGCAGATAAGGCGGATTCGTTTGGTGTGTGTTGGTGCTCCAGGCATTGGTTCGCCACTCCCTGTGCGATGGATTCGTAAGTGACCGACCAGGCCGATGTTTGAGGTGAATATACGAGGACGGTGTGCACAGGAGAAGCTGGCGGTGTCAGTGTCTTTTTCTGAGATGGTGGCAGTGGTGGAGCTGCTAATGATGGACGCGCTGGGCGACGGGGTGTGGGTTGGGCTAGGCGTGGTGGATGTGTGAGATGGGCTTAGTGTGGTGGAACTGACGGTGGTGGGTGTGCTTGACGGCGAGGTGTGGGTTGCGCTAGGCACTATTGGATGTGCAGGAATACGCATGTGACCTAGTAGACCCATGAGGTGAGTGAATGTGCTGCGGCAGTGTGGACAGTGGAGCCGATTGCTTCAAGGCACTGATTCGCCAGTCTCTGTGCGGCGGATTCACAAGTGACTGACCAGGCCGATCTGTAAGGTAAACGTGCGGTCGCAATAAGGACAGGCATGGATAGAGTCCTCATCGTTGGCGTTGACAGTGGGGGTGTAAATGCTTGTTGGTGTGTCGGGATTGTGTGCAGTGGTGGTGGGTACAGGAGTCGCTGTAGTGGATGTTGAGACAATGGAGGAGGGGGGGAGGAGAGTTGAGGAGGAGGATGGTAATGTGGATTCGGGAGCGCGGTCCCTTCTAGTTGGCGGCTTCAATATACGTTGAATACAGGTGAGGTGGAAATGATTGAGTCTTCGTGCCTGCTTCTAGTACACCGTCCAGGACTTCGCTCCATACAGCAGCGTCAGCAGGATGACCGCCATGTACATTTTCAGTTTGATGTTGAACTGCAGACGATGGCGATACCAGACAGTGATTTACAGACGGCGGAAGGCTTGGCTGGCTTTGGATATCCGGCAGGCCACTTCACCGTCGATCGTAGTGGTGCGGGAGAGGGTGCTGCCCAGGTAGGTGAGGCTGTCCAAGACTTGCAGTTGGGCGCCGTTCAGGTTAATTTAGGGTGCTAGCTAGGCAGCGTCGGGTGGCGGCTGATGCATAACCACCGTCTTCTCCGTGTTGATGACCAGGCCGATATTGTTGCAGGCGACGACGAAGAGGTCCGTGTTCGTTTGCATGTAACCTTACGAGGTGACGTTAAGAGTTCATTCGTCGGCGAAGAGAAGTTATTGAAGGACAGTTGTGGATACACGCGACTGGAAATGCACCTACCGCTGATTGAGGAGGTGGTCATCCATCTTGTAGGCGATGCGGAACCCAGGGCATTCGTCACGATGGGCGTCCATAAACGTGGCAGAGAACATGAGGTTAGGCGCAAGGATGCAGCCCTGCTTCTCTCCGTTGATCACTACGAATGCATCTGAGACAGCTCCATTTTCTGTGACCCGCGTAATCATGTCATTGAGGAGCTGACACACTAACTGAGTGAATCGCTCGTGACAGCCGAATTTCTGCGAGATTTTTCACAGAGATAAAGTAGATACGAATGGTTCAAGCATAAGGGGCTGCAGTATATATAGGATGCAGTAGTCATGCTACCGTATACCTATGAATATTTACGGCTCCCCCCTTCATTAGCCATCGTTGCACGTGGTGTGATGGCCGACATTCGCGTCGTTAATGGCTGCAATTTCATCAGGTGCGTTGGATGCTGGCGTCACGATTGCTCGATCATCTGACGCGCTGACACTGGTGTTGGGATTAGTGCTCACCGGTGCGCTTCCCGCATGGCCAATTACTCCGCCTAGGCGAAGTCTCTGCACCGAGTATGGAATTGGAAGATCGTTGCACTTGTTAATTGACTGGGGGCCAGTAAACCATGACTGAGGCAGCACCTGGCTCATGCGGTTGTCACCTCTTGCGAGAATTTCGGCCCCCTCGAATTTGAATGTGCGGCCGGACCTAGTCGAATGAGCCGCAACCTGAGAGCTGGCGTCTTTTCTCCGTACCGCTACAGCGTGTTCGGTCATTCTCGTTCGGATCTGTCTTCCGGTTTCTCCGACGTAATTGCTTTGTCCGTAACTGCACCAGATCCAGCGACACATTCGAAGTTGATGAGACCGAAATTCTCCTAAGAGGTGACAACCGCATGAGCCGGGAGCTGCTTGAGTCATGGTTTACTGGCACCCTGTCTATTAACAAGTGCAATGATCTTTCCATGGTGCAGATTGTGGAGATTGTGGAATGCTACGCCCGTCGCTGAAGAATTGGTGTCTTCTTAGTGAGTTTGGTACTACCGTCAGCGCTGAGGTGAGAAGCAATTGATTTGGTTGGCTTGCCGCAGACAGCATTGATCGTGGAGAAGAAATTTTTCCATTCGTTGTGGTCCGCGTAACCCTGGATCTCTGCGACCCTGCGAGCGGTCCAAGCGTCCCTCATCTCGCGCAGCCGCTTTTGCACGAGGTGGTGATTACGGTAGAGGACTGCTTTGTTGTTGTCGGTGGGGTGGTCGACGTAGGCCTTGTGCAGGCGGTTTTCCTCCGCGCGCAGGTTACTGAGAGGGACATCGTTGTCATCGAACCAGTCCTGGTGTTGCCGTCGTCCGTGACCGACGACAGCCAGGGCCGTCACCTGAACTGTGTCCTGCAATTGTCGTTTTCATCAGCGATGTCGACGACGATCCTGAGCTAATTCATTGCTGAAATGAAGATGGTGAATAGGCAAAGACAACAGGGCTAAATTAAGCTTATATGGGGGTCGCTCACCTTGAGGTCTCCTGCGAGGTTATAGGCGAATTCACATCATGAGGATGACGAGACGATGGTCGGTTCATCCGTCGGCCCACGGGATCGTCTTTTTCGCCGGCACTTCCCACTGGTCTCGCCTCCGGACGAGATCATAGTCCAGAAAGTGCCGGTTTCGCGACCGAGGGTGCATCCAGGTGGCCTCATCTCGCATCAGGAGGCTGAAGAAGGTGTTGGTCAGGATGAGCCGAAGTTTTGCGCAGGTTCGTAGGAGGAGCTGGCCGTTGTAGACGGAGCCGTCTAGACAATGTGGACCCAGCACTCCTCTCCAGGCAGCATGGTCTCTGCTGACGCTGACGTTGAGGTCACCAAGGACAATCAACTTATCCGCCCTCGGCACAGACGCCAGGGTGCGTGCAGGCCCTCGTAGAATTTTTCTCTTGCGGCCTCGCAGCTTGTCATTTGCCTGGCGTAGATGCTGATGATGGTGGCGAATTTGCCTCCCTGAAGGTGCAAGCGGAGGCTCATCAGGCGATTGTCGATGCCCTGCGGCAGACAGGGCAGTCGTCCCATGATGTCGTTCCGGATGACAAAAGCCATGCCCGCGACCCGTCGCTCTGCCCTGGGGCGACTACTCCAGAAGAAGGTGTGGCCGGCACCCACCTCCTTCATTTGGCCTTTTTCGGAGAACAGGGTCTCACTAAGTGCAAAAGTGCCCACCTTGTATTGCGCCAGTTCCAGAACCATTAGCGTCGTCTTCCGTTCCGGTCGGTTGCTCCTCGGATTGTCTAAAATAGAACGGGCATTACAGTGTACCAGAGTCTGGCGAGTGGGGCGACGGGGGGAGGAAGGCGAAGAAAGTGCTGTTTCTGATATGATTATTTCGACCGTGGGTTTTGCGTCTGAGGTTGCGGTCAGCCTGCAGACGGCGTGGGTTCCTAGCATTTGCTTAGGGCACTTTTTCAGCCCCTTCCCCCTCGCGGGAGTGAGCAGTGTTCTCCCTCAATAGGGCTGCTCAGTTGTCCAGACGTCTGCCGAAATCAACTATGCACAATGAATTCTGTTTAGCGGAAGTACGACCCAAGTTAGCCTGGGATTGCCTATGACATTTCCATAAAACTCGAGGGGGAAGGGGAATGTAGAGATAGGGTATTTTCGCCGTATCGGTTGCCAGCGGATTGTTGAGTCAGGACTGCGAACACCTCCCTCCCAACGTGACTGATTCCCCTGCCCAGGGAGTATCGCAGCAGGGAATACGGTTAGGGGAGGCCAGTACAATTGTTGATGGATTTCGGGCTTGAGAAACATGACTCGAGCAGCTCGCGACTCAAGCGGTGGTCACCCCTTACGAGGATTTCGGCCTCTTGAAACTCGAAAATATGGCCGGGTCCCGTCGAATTAGCCGCCACCTGAGAGCTAGCGTCTCCCCACCTCACTGGTGTTGGGTGCTGGGCAATTCGCGTCCGCAGTAATCTCCCAGTATTTGCGTTGTCCGCAACTGCACCATATCCGGTAATTAACGACTCGGACGCGGACTTTCGCAGATGCGGCCGGGGAACGCAGAGGTGATGAGGTCAAGTAATTGTATAGAAAAGAAAAGCTATTGGGAATGCGCGATTGTATTTTGAGTGGTTGAGAAATAGGTGCCCTAACTCCTAACCCTAACCCCTAAACTCTAACAAAATTGTGTGCATCAAGTGCAGCTGCATAACCACATCTTGCCGTAGACCCATTTTGAAGTCAGTGATTCCCTAATGTGATCGGTTCTTAGGTAAACAGTCTTCAAAAGCAGTGCTCCACGAACTCTATGACATAATAAGCCGGTCAGTCAGTCAGTCAGTCAGTCAGTGTATTTGAGGGCAATAGGCTTACGCCTTTGAACTCCTATTTGTACATAAAAAAATCGATAAACAAACAAAAATGTGAAGAAATTACAGGATTAAGTGAATGCATACATTGATTCACATATGTCCTTGGTCACATGGCTAAAAAGTCACATAGTCCGCTTGTTGCTGCAGCATATATCTGTCAAGGCGACATTTAAATGTCTCCACAGATTGAGACATAACAACCGTCTCGGGCAGGTTATTCCATGGTTCCACGACACGGTTGGAGGAGAAATATTTTCTCACATTCAGTCTACCCTGTGGCACACGTAGCTTGGAGGGATGTCCCCGGAGGTGAGTTGTAGTGGCGAGTTGGAAAAATCCATCGCGCCGAAGGGCACAATTCAAGCCGCGCACGATACGGAAAGTTTGCATCATGTCTCCGCGCAACTGCCTATAACTCAGAGGATAGAGATTAAGGTTAGTTAAGCGGATCTCGTATGGCAGTGCACTTTGACATCTTATTAATTTTGTTACTCGTCTCTGCATCCTTTCGAGCAGATCGTAATCCTGATGCGTCCACGGTCTCCAGGCCTGAATTGCATATTCGAGATGGGGCCTTATAAACGTGCCAAAGACTTTGGTGAAGCACTCTTCATCGAAAACTACGAATGCCCTCTTGATGGCATATAGCATTGAGGTTTCGGCCTTGGCCGCCTTACAGCATTGCGTAGAAGGCTTTAGGCTGTCTGCAACCCAAACTCCGAGATCTTTCTGAGTTTCTGCTTCTCGAAGTGGCATTCCGTTCAGATGGTATTGCCGCGTACTACGGGTCTGATTTCCGAGGCGCAGAATGGTGCATTTGTTCAAATTGAAGGTCATTGTCCTTACTGTTTATGTCCTTGCCCAGTCTACGTTCCATCGTATTAATTGTATCCTGTAAATACTGTTCCATGTGTGCTCGTAACTGGCCAGTGTTTGGTCTGTGATTGTGCTATATCAGGAAACCGAATGATCAAGTCTAGAAGGTCTTACTCTAGAGATTGAATAAAGGTCATTTGGGAATACATCTGGGATTACAAATGCTCTTTGAAGACGCTAGTAAGCACAATGTAAATAGGTTTGTGGAACGCTAACAAAGCAAAAACACTTTATGCCAGTAAAATGTACCATTTTTAAAACCTCTGTCAGCCCTTCGCCAACTCGTGCTGTAACTTTTTTTCCTGGGAACAGCAAGTAGACCAGGCTCAAAAGCAAGGCGTAAGACGGAAACAGAAACAACCCTCTAATTAGCTCTGCACGCTTTGTCTTTTCCAATTCCCTGCCGGCTTCAGACCTCAAATAATGTTTACCTGAGGTAGCGTCTCTGATTACTGGGCAAGACTGTGCAAGTTTTTGACTTGCCAAGTTGGCGTTTGACGCAAACCATTTTTTACTGTTTTATTTTTGTTCTTGAATGCAAGAGCATGTTTATGCTCAATCTTGAGGTTTTGACGGAGTTAGTGGGCATTGGGGCGTCTTATTATAAAATTACGTAAGTCGACTCAAATAGCAGAGGTCCGAATTGGGGGGTTAATGCCAATGAATTGAGAGCATCGTAATTCAGTAAAGCAAAAATAATCGTTTGTGGAGAATTCGAAAGGGCTACTCACGTTATGCATGGAATTTAGGCAGATTTGCCTGTGTCCACTTTTCATCATTGTTCTCACATGCGTAAAAATTTGTTTGAAAAAGGATAAAATTATTTCAGGTAGGCAAGCTAAGAATGCCTTCAGGAAACAAATGAACTGCGCTTAGTTGCATGGAGCAAAGTTCAAAGGACAGCCGGGTATGGTGTATATGAAAAGGTCACCGATATACCCGCTATCCATATGCAATCTCACACAGAACTGGGCAATATACGCTGTTTGTCTTTACTAGGAAGCTGACCAAAAACTATTTTTTCAGCTTCCACCAAGGCTAAGAAAGTGTTCAGGTATCGAGATAAAACTTGAGTGTCATCTGTATACTGTTTTCGATTTGTTCTGGAAGTCAGAGCCACAGCGGGTCTCAACAAGGGAGCGCTGGATATAGAATGCAATTCCTTAACATTAGAAGGGCGCTGAGGTATAGTCAGCGCTTGAGCCAGCAAACGTTTAGGCCCCATGTCTGGTGATGCTTGCTCTTCGCGTCCTTTGGCTCTTCTTTATCCTCTTCTAAACCGGACGTCCATTCTTTGCACAGTCTGCCACGTCTGACTGTTACTGTGTGTCATATGGGGAGAAAGTTATGTCGGGCCAAACACCGGTTGACTTTTCAAAGGACTGCGGGTGCTCCATCAGCTATATTGAGGAGCGCCTGTGCTATCAGATCGGAAAAACGACATAGGTAGGGTCGGAAATGTTCTACGTGGTGAAATAATTATTAGCGAACTAAGATCAAGTCCTTACGGCAGCGGACACATCCCACCCCCTTTACAGTATTTTCCTTGCTGCTCTTCGCCCGCTAGAAGCAACCTGTAAGCGTCCAGTAGCTCCCAACCGTAGAAATAATTGACAGGGCTTTTCGAATATGCGTCGTCAAACAAAAAAGATAAATTAGATTTTGTCTGTGTACGAGAAGAAAACGGAATCTACAGTTAAATCGCATGGCAGCAATGATGACATTTGGTGCACGTCTTCTCAGCCACTCAAGCTTCCTGAAATACGGATTTCAAAATTCCAACAATAACGCTTATTTTGCAAACAATGGATTTTCCCCAGTCTGATGCCTACCATAGGTCCATAACAACTGAGACACTTGTATGTCTACGAGTGAGTTAAATATGTGAAAGCATAGGAGCTCCTTTGTTTTGATCCAACTGTGAGAAATTTGACGACCTTCTTAGGATTTAAACCCACGAAAACCAAGAGAATGCTTAAGTTCAGTCAAAGCTCTAGCCGTTAGTTTAATCACGTCTGGGTTTAGATAGCCGCCCACCATATTAAAACACCTATTAATTTCACGAGGCTGATAGTCATCTTAAGGAGTCTAGATGGATGTCTTAGGAAATCCTGCTTGGGCAGTCAGCTGACTATATCAGATCTGGTGGATTCTAGACGTTGCAGAAGACTGGACGGGTAGCTTGACCCAAATGTGATTAAACTTCTGTCCCCGTTGGGACTTCGTAGCTCAGGCAGCTAGAGCGTTGGCCGTATTAAACCTGTCGTGGTTTTGATTACGTGCCAGGCATCGAGTTTTTCACAGTTGAGTCGATATGAATTATTCAAAATCTTTCCAAGCATCTGTTGATGGCAATTCTTGGGACTTTTCTGATAATGGGAGCTCATGACGGATAGATGACATCCCCTTCATATTTTAAGCTTGTCAGGTGAATTTTACCTTAAAATATCCCCTAACGTATGACACTGCATTCGGAAGACCTAAGTCATCCCTCTTGATATCCGTGTTGCTTTGAAGAGCGCGTATATGCGCGCAACTCTGGAAAAAACTAGCGTGTTCGTCAAATCCTCCATGACGACTGGCGTGTTTCAAGCTAAGTTTTCATGTTAATCGTGTCGAAGACGGACGGGAAACTAGCCTGCAGTGAGTACTTATTCACTTATGTCTGGTTGGCCCACAAACGAGTGTGCATATGTGGTCATCCATTGTCGCTCCCTAGATAGTCATTACTCACTTTTGTCCAAGCAGAATACAAGGCCTGAGTCGTTCTGCCATCCAAAACAAGGAAAGGGCCTTTTGCGCGACATGATTGGTCAAGCCTTCTCTCCTCATTTGCACCCTTCTATGTGCTAACGGACCCGATCGGGAAGTTACAAAACCCAGCTAGACAGTGAAACCGGTTAAGGGCTAGATAGACACTGAACTGGCCAACTGATAGATGTATGCCAAAATCTGTTTGATTACTGTGTTGCACAGATTTCTTGGGCCTGTCTGTCTGGACTG